CTCCTCCTCCCTACCTGAGTCTGGTGTCACGACCAAATAAAGAAGACTGGAGGTGGGACAGGACGCGGGTGGCTGGCAGGCCGTAAACCTTCATCTTGGAGTATCACCAAACCCCTTGGTCAACAACACACACACAATGGCTAGGATTTTAAATGCAGAAAAGAGAAGAGAGAAACGGCTCGGATTCCATTGGGTGGAGGTGCCATAGAAGCCACATTAAGAAGGAACCATTGTAGCCTGACTCACAGCCCACCAGTTGACCTTCCTGCACAAAAACACACTGGGTTGGTCGCGAGGCCCAAGTTATCGCGTTAGTTGGTAACCTTCCGAGCCAGGGCTTCTAGTACAGCGTAGTAGCTTCAAACGCGTCAGATTGCTCATAGTGAGGAAGATGTACCGAATCGTCGACCTCACTCTCCTTTCCAATTCCTATGCCCCAGCCAGTCAGCTGACAGGTGCGGGGAATGGGCGCGGTGGCTGACATATCTAGTGACCTTATTTGCGCACGCCACGTGCACGACCTGTCCCCCCAAACACAAAAACCAGGATTTCACACAACGGAGGTCAGGCAACATATATCTCAGACGCGTGAGAGTGCCGTAGGTCACGTTAAGAAGGGGCCATTGCAGTCTGACTCTCAGTCCGCTGTCAGAAAACACACGGGCAAAGCTGGGGGACCCACTGACGAGCCGAACCCCTCGCAGCTGCGTCAGGCAGCGGTATAAGATCGGCGAAACACGCGTGTCTGGGCTTTTAGCTAATACCTGTGTTGTTAGTACGGTAAATCATTGCATGACTCTCAGTCCGCCAGTCGCCCACTCCGCACAAACATACACAACTGAGCAGACTGCGTGGAATAAGTTCCATCGTCAGTTGGCAATCTTCCAAATCACGGCGCTTGGCGCAAAGTGATAGTCTCAGGCTCATAGTGCACATGCAGCAGAGTAGCTGCGTGGCGAAGGAGCCGAGGAGCACACTTTTCACTTACATGAGACGTGTGGTCATGTGTGGTACAGGCGCTGGTGAGGAAAGATTTGATTTGACAGTGTTTTACCGCAGGTTTTCATGAAGACCCATGCGTGAGGTAAGTGTTCGGTGACAATGTGGTTGGGATAGTTCGCGAGCTGCAGAGTCAGTTTCTGTGGTGATAGTGCTGCTAGTGATGGGCGCACGT